AAAAAAAAAAAAAAAAAAAAAAAAAAAAAAAAAAAAGAAGAAGAAGAAGAAAAGAAAAGAAAAGAAAAGAACTCAAGGGAGATGCAGATCCAACATCCACAACTAGAATTCAGATACGGAAATATTTGACCATACGCCTCCGCTCTACCAAGAAAGAACGCAATGGCGAAGGAAAACGAAAACCAGTCGGCAATATAACGCAAAAAATCTTAAATTGAGAAGATGTAGAGAAAAAAAGGCATTAAAGATGAAGCACCTTGAAAGCATGTCGTGCTTTGCAACCCATAAGCTGCAGAGTGCTTTGCAAAACGGGGCGAGTATACCGGAACGACTCCTTCTCCTCCTTTTCTTGTTCTTCATGATCCAAAATCACAACATACAACACCTTAGCGACGTCCGCCATGTACGTAGAAGCCAAGCCAATTATCTACACATCAACCAAAAACTCAAAACAAAAAACCATACTAGAAGGGAGAGGAGAGTCAAATGAGATTATTAAGCGAAGCGACTGACTGAACCTAATAATTCAAAAGATGAACAGACAACCACGACATTGAGCATTGTCCTACAACGGGCGGAATACACCACGAAAAACACAATTCAAATCAAAACACGAACAAGAACGATAGAGAATGAAGAACAGATGCAATGTGGATCGTGAACCTGAAATCGATAATCAGACAGATCTCAGAAGTGTGTTGGAAATCAAAAGGTAGAAGAAGTAGGATTGAGGCGAGGGTTGAAGTTGAAGATCCTCCATAAACAAGAAGGGAGAAGCTCTATTCATTGTTGCGGTCATTGCCGTGTCACCTGTCTTCCACGCAGCGCACAGACCCAGCCTCCACGAGTCCTTTTTGGAGGGCGACTCCCAACTGAAATTACCCAATTCGCCTCCTAATTCTAATTCCCATTTAATACCCCATTTTCTTTGGTTTTGCAACCCTATTCCCATTCCCCTCACTCCCAGATACTTACAAACAAAACAACCGGAGATTATAAAAGGAAAATCAAAGGGTCCGGTATACACGTAATTTCGAACCAAAACTCGGGGTAATATTGGAATATAGAAAATCCAACAACTTCGCTTCAACGATAACGTCGTCCTCGACTCTTCCTTCTGTACATAACGCCAAAACATTTAATTTAAACCTGATGAAAATTCGCTTTAAAAAAAAAACAAAGAAATTAATTTTTTTTTATTTCTTTTTATTGTAGTAACGTTCTTATTTCTTATTTGAGTAACCTAAAATAAATAGATTTTTTTAATTAAAAAATTGAAACAAAATTGTAATTTTTTTAATGTAAAAGAATAAGATTCTCCAGTTTTTATTCCTTTTTATCGTTATTTATTTTCATTGATCTGGGAATATAAATAAATTAAACCTAACACAGTCAAAATAAGCCTACTCTCTTCCCTATTACAAATTCAACCTTCTATTCTATTTTTGGTATGATATATATAATCTTCCAATCCTATATAAAATAATTTTTAAAAAATCCAAATTGTTTACTCCCAACCCAAAAAAAAAAAAAAAAAAAAAATTAAAACGTTTAAATTTTGTAAAGAAAAATCATTATTCATTGATTAGATATTATTATGCGATTTGGCGTATTGTTGATTCACATCTAACACATCATTAATAACGATATTACAATTATATATTCTGTACTTTGACAATAATTGCCACGTGTGTTTTGATATAGACTTTAATATAATCCTTAAAAAAAGATAATGCTTTTTTTAAAACTTTATGAATTAAAAGAAAATAATTTTTACTCCAAATTAAGAAAAAATTATTTCTCTTTTTTACTATTTTACAGTTTATTGTAATAATATTTCCATTGATTTTTTTAGTTACAACGTATATAATTAATTCTTCAATTTGATGAGTTGTATAATTTTATCAAAATCATTTATTTGAGAATTGTTATTAACATTAATTAATGGCTAAAATATAAGTTGGGCTAAATATTTATAATTGAGAGTTTATTACTTTTATTAAAATCATTCACTTCAGAATAATTATTAAGATTTATTACCAAATAAACTAAAAAAATTAAAATTTAGAGTATATCAATAAAAATTGAATTAAAAATAAATAATGGAATAAAATTGTTAAATTGCTTCGTTTATATGAAATTTTGATAACATATAGGAAATACGAAAGACAGTTATTTTATGAAAAATTTATAAATAAAACCTTAAACTAAACGTTTATAAACGATACAAAACTCTCCGAAATTTTATCGGCTAGATATAACATTATAGATAAATTCACTTTAAATTTAAAAAATTATTTTAAAAGATACTAAAATTTTTAATTTTATGTCTTATGATATATATAAAAAAAAATTAATTGATGAATCAAATTTAAAAATTTTATTTTATATATATTAAAGCCCTAAACTTTTTGAATATTTCATTAAGCTATATTCTAAAAACAAAAACAAATTTTTGAAAAATATTTTTTATTAAGAATTTTTATTAGGAATTATCGTGATAAGTGATATTATTCACTTTGAACATAAGCTCCGAAAGCTCGAATGAACCGGTCTTTTGGCATAATTTCAAATTGGGCCCTTTATTTATACATTTTTAGGCATCCCACCTTTTAGGAGTTGATAAACACTCCAATTTCACCGTCTCCATGACCGTCAAGCACACAAATCCCCTCTCCAACCCAATTTTCTCAAGTGGAATCCGGCATGCCACAACAAAATTCATCTAAGGAATTCCTCCTTGGTGTGCTAGTTTGACTCCTCCTTTGCCTGATTGAGTTATTTTTCTTAGCTTATCAAACCAACTTATGCCCGACTCTAGACTCTCTTCGAGCCACGAGCGTGAGGATGGCAGCCTTCATCCAAAGGTCGAAAAGGAGGCCGCCCGAGCGAGGTTCTACCGTATTACGTAAATCGGAAGAGAGAAAATAGGGCTCTTTTTGAAGGGAGAAAAAGGCTCAGGAACAAATAGCAGTTCATGATTGTGATGAAGAAAGCAAGTAAATTTTCTTTCTAATAGGCATAATGGATCTCTACCATATATACCCACAACAAAACATTGGTATAAAGATCGTATTGTAACACATTCAAAGAGAGGAACACATAAAGACCTTATTCAAAATTTAATTAGACTTCTTGTCTCCACAAACGATCAAAAAAGCTGAATAATCTGTGGTTCAATTAAAGAAAAGGAACCCACTTCACAATTTCCATTCTCTCCCTCCACAAAAGCAAAGAAGCTCCAATCAAGAATGGAAGACTTTTTTGATTTGCAAAGAACAAAGTTGTCACATTCAAGGTTCTTATGTGTTTGTTGACTGGAGTTTCAAGCATTCTTTATCATACTAAATGGAAGACTGCTAAATTCTGCAAAAAGATTCCCAATGTTCTATGATAGGACCACAGAACAAAATCGATCCTTCGACCGATGAACTCGAATGGAACATTCGAACTATAGTTACAAAGATCTGCTTGCCTGATTCAATCGTAAGAAGTAGAAGCAACAATGAATCTCGGTCCATTTTAATTCTCAAGCTAGGACAAGAAATGTGTAACTAATCAATCAAACTCATCCAAATGGCTGTGTTTTAATACAGATAGAGATCAACAACCAACAATCTGCAGAAGATGCACTCGATGGCATTACCTACAATAAGAGAAATTCAAGAGCGTACCTTTTTGTAGCAAAATCTCATGCTCGACGCGGTGAAGTTTATTATTCGTTAAACATCATCTCCATGATCACGTCGTTCCAAGAATCAATCGGTCCGGGTAGGCACCAATGCAAGCAATCTTTCTGCACCTTTGCATTTTTGTCATGTGCAAATGGTTGGAACTCTCTGTATGAGCCTGGATGCCCATCAGGCCTCAACAATGAAAGCTGGGTGAGGTCAAGAAGCTTAAGATTCATCCCATTTCGAGACGCTTTTACTTCGGCTTTCTTGAACTCTTCCAACTCGACATGTCGCAGAATCTTGGTCAGTTCTTTCAATCCAATCTCACCTTCTTTTATAGGTGCCCTTTGATCACACGTTCCTCCGCTAGACCACTCCCCGTTTTCGAAGTGATCAGGGGTTGATGTTCTCATAAATATCATACCTTTATGCTTGGATGCTACAATAAAGTTTAATGCAGACCGGAGTGATCTACGATAGGCAAAATCAATACCTAACTCTGTACAGTTCCTTTTTGGGCAAGAATGGCAGCCCAGCACTTTGTTATTCTCATAGTATAGTGCAGATTTCACAAACCATTTCCCACTAGAAATTATCATGTAGTCTTGTTGGTGGAACTCGTCGATCCATTTCTTATCGAGTTTGTCGAGATGCAACTCAACTTCAGATGTTGATACACCATTATAATCTTCAAATATAGCAGCTTCTGCAAGAAAAGGTGACCAAATAACTGAAACAGTGAAGTTGTATGATGGAAACCTCCATTTTCTAGACTTGTATCCTTCATCATGGTAGATATGAACTGCTACTTCCACCTGAGAATGAGTAGACAGTCAGCTGATTAAGATGCAGAATCCATTCTTTATCAAACAGCTACAAGAAACGACTAAAATTCAACACAAGGATGTCTAGACCAACAAGCCCAAAAGAAAAGGAGCTACCAGCACTAAAAGACTCAACACAGCTACAAGAACCCAACACCCACAAAAGTATAGTTTGTCCAGTCACAAGAACGCCCACACAAGATCCTTAAAGAACTCACCAAAATATGATATCAAGTCATGGAGCTATACATTGAAAAGGCTTGAATGATTTTCTCAGATTGGCTTTGTTATATGAAGGGATGGCATAACAAGAACGTATCTATGGAATACAAGGTAGCATAAAGTCGACAGTCAAGTCCAATCAACATAACCCTCCCTACTTTCAATTTAGTATTGGCATATGATTACATACCGTTGAAAGCATGCACAGCAATGATTGAACATGGTTCCGAGATATAGAATCTCCGATCAATGCCCATTTTTTATCCCTCATCGCCTCAAGAAATCGTTGTGGATCGAACTTCGATAGTTCGCAATCCCGTGGCTTCCATCTCCAGTATAGGTATTCTGTATCTGGCCGCCCATTCTTCATACAATTTTGATGAGCTTCAATATGGGGGCAGCTCTCGTTATTGTACACAGGACCTGATGGATTTGGGATCCACTCCCCAACAAAAAGATTACACTTCCCTGCTCCAAGTTCAATTCAACCAAGCGTTTAACACTTCGTTATCTAAGAATGCACAGTACAGTTCTTTACAGATTATGAACAAGAAATAAGTAGAGAAGCAACTCATTGCTTAACAACAGAGTAATCCCACATTGAGTATCAAATTTAAAGAACACTACGGTAGTAAAATTTCAGCACCACACAGAAAAAGAGAAACCCCATATTTTGATTAACACTATAATTCAAGAAGAGCAAATAGTTATGAATTTTCGATCCTAATCCAAGCATTTTGAGAGGGTGATTAGCAAAGAAGTAAGAACAATAGCACAAAAGAGAGAATCAGTTCATTACCATCACGTGGTATCTGATCTTCAACCTCCGGAGATTCCAGTGGTATCGTCGCCTGCAAATCCTCAGTCTTGTTAGACAAAGGCGTTTCCAAAATCTCAGGAACGTCATTCTGCTCAGTTAAAGGGCTTTCCAAAATCGTCGGCGGCGCCGTTCTCTCTGTTAAAGGGGTTTCTAAAACCGCCGGAATGTCACCGGAACTAGCAAAGAAGAATCGAAAAGCAATACCCAGTAAGAGAATAGGAAGAACGAGCTTCAAAATCAATACATGATTGCGTTTAAAAGGAAACGGCAGCTTCCAATTGAACTTCATCTTCCTCTTCCCCACTTTGTCCCTGTAACAAAATCGCAATGCCCAGTTCAAAACCGTATCAAGCCGAAGCTAAATTCCAAAACCCAATACTCCAAATCAGGGCGATTCCATTAAAACGCATC